GTGAGAATGACTAAAATGGGTATGTCTGATGGGGAGCCTGTTCTGAAAAGAAAGTCAGGATGGGGGAGAGATCCTGGGTCTGCGGCATGTCCAGTAGGGCTAAAACCCGGCTCTTTCCTGTGAGCCTTGACTGGTTGGTGTGGCCCAGGTACTCACCCTCAGGAGAGGCCTTATTCAGCCTTGTTTTCCTTTTTCTCACAAGGACACAGAGCACCTTAACTTAGTCTCAGGCACAGGCACAGATTTCAGTGTAGGGAGCCATGCAGCCTAGTCTCTGATCCGCATATGAATGCCTGTCCAATGGGTCTCTGCAAGGCAAAGCCTGTGGAGATGGTCTGTCACTTGGCAAAGAACAGTGGACCTTGGGCATTGCAGGACTCGGCTGAATTCATGCAGCTTGTAGGGTCTTTTCTCTCTCATTATATTTTTCTTAGATGGTTTTTAATTTTACCATTCTGGAAAGGAGAGGAAGGCATGCATACACAGACTAGGGAAAAAGCCTCAGAAATGCACACAGTGACAAGTGTTGAGAGTAAGTTCCCTGGACACCAAGCATATAGAGCCAATGGTAGGATCTGGTATGCTCCAAGAGGAAAAAATGCAAGGCAAAATGTGGGATGAATACATCCATCTTTACCATACACAGGAGCTTATATTGGTGAAAGAAAAGTAGTGTGGTAGTATAGGAAAAGAGTGCCTTACCAAAGTCTGCCTTTTACGGAGAGATTGAGACATGGGACCCTCTTGTAGAAAAGGGAACTATTTGAGAGAATATCTTACAGACATGAAATAATTGTTGGGGCTTGGATACTGTTGTCCTAAAAGCATTGTAACCATGACTTTTAGTTTTTAATTTGGAACCACAAGTAGCTTCTGTGAGTACTGTGAGAGCAGGATATTTGTAGCTGGATATTTAGTAAGGCTGCAAAAATGCTGAACTCCACATCTAGAATGAAGTCCAGTGGGGGTTGGGGAAGTGTGTTTGGGGAAAAATAAAGGGGAGCAATGAGGGCTTTTATAACGAGCACGATGTCTTTCTTACAATGTGATGTATTTCTTAAAAGTAAAAAAGCAGAGATGGTGATAAAACTGTTCATGTGTCCTGGGAGAAAATCTCTGTTGAAGTATAAATAAAGATGGCTCAAGCTACCTGGGGTCACTTGAGTGCCTTCCAACTGGTGGTCAGATATCTTCCTGGCATGGACACCCCTTCCCGGGCAGTCCTGAACACACTAAGTACCCTGTTCTTCAGACTGAAAGTTTAGAAGCATTGGATTATGATTCCAGCAACACCTGGACGGCACAAGGTAAGAAGGGACTGCGGTGACCATCCCACACCACAGCTCCCGCAAGAGGATTGGGGTTGGGCAGATGCAGCCATGTTTCTACCCTCCTAGCCTTAACCCATGGACCTTGGACCACATTCCCAAAGCAGGTCCTAAGAAAGACTGCCAGGAGGGAGGCAGAAATATCTGAGGTGGAACTGGGGTCTCCTCTTGTACTCAGGGATACAAAGTAAGCATTTTGTCACCAGTCCCTTAATATGGACAGCAGAGAGAAGGTTCCTGCTGGTCATTTGCTTTAGGATTGTTTTTAGTATGTATGCATCTTAAAAATTTATTTATTTTACATCCTGGCCACAGTTTCCTCTCCCTCTTCTCCACCCCATCTTTCCTCTTCCCCTTATTTGTCGCCCACCCATAATCCACCCCTCCTCTGTTTCTATTCAGGAAGGGGCAGGATTTGGTTGCAGCCAAAGCCTCTGCTACAGACCCTGAGACCTGAGACTATGTGTGGACTTCCCTTTGAGAGATCATAGACATTTCCCCAGGGCCTCACTTACCCCAGGCATG